TTAGTAAAAATCTTTGCAGGCAAATTTGCCTGTGTTACAATTTAAGAGATAGGTTGTATACGAGATGTTGTATATGAAGGAAGAGTATGAACAGTTGTGTTATAAAATTTTAAGTTGGTATAGGAATGATATTTTGGACCATCAATTAAAAGAATTACTTTGCAACTAACTATTTTTTTATCAAATTTTTTAAGCCATTTTTGAAACAGTATACTTGTCATTCATGCATTTTGACTTGCATCATATGTAATATCAAGACTACAACGATTAATGGATTTGAAGCAACGTAGATTAGGTAACTTACCTATAACGAATAGTGTTATTTTATCTGTTTTATTAGCATTAGCACAAAGTGCTATAGTTAATCGTTCTTTCTTTTTTTTTTTTCTTAAGACAAATAGTTGCTAAAGTAGTGTTTGGTTCTAGTTTTCAAAAAAGAAAAAAAATTAATTGAGATAGGTATTAATAATATAATATAATTTATTTATTTAATATCAATAGAATAAACCTATCTCATCCATGTTGTAAATATCTTTTAGATCATATTCTTTTAAAATTTTTTTTAACCAAGGAGTAGCAGCTTCAATAACTGCATCATCTACAGAGGCATTCTCTTTGTGTTTTACTATTCATCTCAAGCAATGTCTTTTTTTGAATTTGTCTAGCCAACTATGCGAAAACTTGAAATTACTTTTAGGTATATGTAGCAACTTTGAAAGTTTTTTGCTTTTTCTATTATAATTTTATCAGATAGTATTATACTTTCTTGACTTTGTAAAATCCATTCAATCAATATGTTTTCAGATTCTGGATATTTAACTGTTCTTTGTCTTTTTGCAAAAAGGTTTTTACCTATTGTTTCTTTATTTTTTAATAGACGGCTAATGGTACTTTGATAAATATCAAGACCTGTTTTTTGTTTTACCCAACCGACGAGATCAGCTTGGGTAATTTGAAGATTTTTTTCTTTATGTTCAATAATGGCTTTTCTTTGTTTATTGGTTAAAGTGGTTTTAGTTTCTTTAGATTTTAAAGAAGACATTTCTGATTAATGTAATATAGTTCTAGCTTATTAAGAACTTTGTAAGTTGGGTGGATATATCTCTCTTTTATTTGTAATTCAACAACTATTTATTTAGCCAATTTAAGATAATCTAAATTATATTTATAGCAATAAGATGGGGCAATTGCATTATTATAAAATATATTAAGACGTTTATATCTAAGAGCTTTTTTATAATTTATATGATATCAAAGTTGTGATATAAAATAAGTTTATATATTAAATATTTTTGAATATTTTTTTTATTATATTTTTTAAATTTTAGAATAGTAATCTATATTAAATTAGATCTAGAACTGAAATAGCAAAGAAAATTGCAGAGCAACAAAGAAAAAAAATAAATAGATATATGTATTGATTCTATTTCATATACAAAACTTTTAATTTTTTTTTTTAATTAAATGTGAGAATACGAATTTTGTAATTCATATTTATTAGATCTGGAGCCAGGGTGACAAAGAAAATTATATTCAGGACTAGGGCAACAAAAGAAAAATAAAGAAATAGGTATATATCAATTGCTTATTTAAATTTTTTTATTTTAATTTAGAATACTAATTTATACTTAATTGGATTCAGGGCCAGGGTGACAAAAAAAGTTGGACTAGGGCCAAAGCAACAAAGAAAAACTTAACAATATAAATGCATAATAATACATAATGTATATATATACGTATATACTGTATATATATGTATATGTATATTCACCTATTTTAAATTCATATCATGTTATTATCCATCTTTTTCTTTAATTTGTCATATATGTTTTACCTTTTATTATATGCTATATACCATGATTCCCTAGAACAGATTGCTGAAGTTCGAGTATGTTATATACTTATAATCCTTACTAACCAAATAATCAAAAAATTCGAGTTACTAGCTATAACTTCTGCGATTATCACAAGCATATCAAGAACCAGTGCCAAGATACATCATGAGACCCAATTTTGGCTTGATCAACTTCACATTATTGGATACTTTAGATACACTTACATCAATAGCATCTTATCTCTTTTAGAAACATTCTACTCATATAAGTTTATATATATAACTTTAGAGAATAAGTGTATTAAAATTAGTGACTAAAAAGACATGATTTTTGTTTTTTTTTTGGTTAAATTTGGAACAAAATTTTATTGAAATCGAAGTATAAAGTTTAAATAGTTAAGCTTTAATAAAAGTAAATTTTTAAAATAAATATTTTATAAGTATAAAACAATGTGCAAGGGTGTGGTTTTACTAAATTAAGCCTAATTTGGGCTTCAGGCCAGTATTCATTTTGTGTTTATATATACAGTAATTTGTATTTTATATTTGGTGATATTACTTTGATTTGATTGGCTGATGATTATATGATATGCATTTATAGAAAGATTTAATATAGACAAGCTCAAGAAAATAGTATACATATACAGAATAAAGAATATGCATTTATTTATTAAGCCCGTTAATGAGCCAAACAATTAATATGCATTTAGAGAGGTTATATATTTAGGAGAGATGCATTTAAAGAGGTCTAACTGTAGTAAAAAAAAACATTTTTTAAAGATATCTCGACAACCACCAAGCTGATTTTGATGCTTTAACCACTATTGAATGCATCTTGACAAGCTCTACAAAAGTTTTTAAGTTAGAAAAGTGATTAACTTAGTATAAAAAAGTTTTAGATGTGCACATATTACATTTAAAAATCTTTAATTTTTATAAATAATTTGAGTTATATTTTACTATCTGCTATGATCACTCTCTGGTTAACTAGTAGATCACTAATTAAATTATCGTTCTAATAATCTTAAAGATGCAAATGTATTGTAATACTATATATGACCAAATTTTATATAACTAAATTGGTTTAATTGATAATATATTTGTCACCTGGAGAGGATCTGCAAAATTTTATAAATAAAGTTTACTATTGACAAAAATGTTAGCTAAAATTTTTTTTTACTAAAACAATTAATCTTGTCAATTAATTAAAAGTTGTAGAGCTTATCAAGATGCATCTAATAGTAATAAAAGCATCAAAATCAGCCTAGTGATTCTTGAAATATCTTTAAAAAACATCTCGTGCATATATAAAATTCTTTTAAAAAAAGTTTTTTTTTTTTAAAGAAAATTTTATATATGCACAAGATGTTTTTTAAAGATATCTCAAAAATCACTAGGCTAATTTTGATACTATTCCCACCATTAGATATGTCTTAATAAGCTCTATAACTTTCAATTAATTAACAAGATTGATTGTCTTAGTATTTAAATATAGGCTTACTATATTTCTGTTAATAGTAAGCTTTACTTATAAAATTTTGCAGATTTCCTCCAGGTAACAAATGGATTATCAATTAAGCATTAAATACAATAAACATAAAATGCAAATATATATAATATTCAATTATTAATAAAATACACATGGGTAATTTTTTAAAAACACCTTTAAAAAAGCTATTTTTCACAACTAGCTTTATTATATCTAGATTTATAGTATTGTTAACATTCTGTTGGCTTTTGCCCTGAAGTCTTAAATTTTAATTCTTGAGATCTTTTAAACTGTGTTTTGTATAGTGCATCTCTTTTTGAATAAACAACAGGATTCTGAATTAAAGATGGATCTATATTCTCAATATTATCATAGTTTTGAGAGAATAATTTATTAGTATAATCTGAATTAGAATTTTTAGAATTGTTGAAATCATGATATATATTATGTGACTCAACCAATTTCTTCCTTTTTTTAATATTTTTGTGAGTTAATTCTTGATTAAATACATGTTTTGAAGTATATCTTTTTATAAAATTTTCTATAAAATTAAAAAATTTGTAACCCTAATTGCGGGCCGGGCCCAGGCTTTAAAATTAGAAATTTGCAGGCCTCTACCTTGAAACTCATATCGATACCTACGTCTTCATATTAAACTATCATATTTCACTCTATAAATAATTTTTGAAAAATATTGTAAATTACAATAAGCATTTATATATCTATTTATTTGTTCTTATGAATTAAACTTCATATCAATTCTTGGGATTTTAACTAAAGAGGAAGAGTGTTCAAATTGTTTAGATTGTTTAGATTTTTTGGATTGTCCAGATTGTTTAAATTGTTCGGATTGTTCAAAGATAGTAATTTCTTTTGATACTCTAATTTGTAGCTCAAGCAAAAATAATTCAAGTAAAGGTATTTCACGTAAAAGTAATTTAAATAAAGGTGGTTTCAATAAGAGTAATTTAGATGTTTTATTTGACTGTTCATATGTTTTTACATGTAATATTAGTTCATTATAAGTAGTTAAAATTGTACTTTTGCTTCGTTCTATTTCTTGTAAATAAAATATTCTTGTACCTTAGTATACTATTAGCTAATTAACAAGCTAATTTATAAGCTAATAACACAGATCGAATGAAGGCAAATCGGGAACTGTACAACTGGTTAAAAACCGGAGACAAATCGGGTTTTGATATGTCTTCGGTTTTTTATTTTTAAATCAGTTACATATCAGGCACCTGATACGACTATGAATGTTACAATAAATTATACTGACAAAGCTTAATTATATCAGGTTGTAATCGTTAATTTTATAGATAATTATATAGAGCTATCAGCACACCTATATGTCACTGGAATTTTACTGATACTGTAAGCACAAACCGGTAAAATTTATAACAGTTATCAGCAAGCCTATATGTCACTGGTATTTTACTGATAAATAAATTGACTATAAGCACAAACCGGTAAAATTTATTATAGTTATCAGCAATCCTATGTCTCTAGAATTTTACTGAAATCTTACTGATTAATAATTTGAATATAAACAAAATCTGATAAAATTTATAATAGTTATCGGTAAACCTATATGTTACTGAAATTTTACTGATAAATAAATTGACTATAAGCACAAACCGGTAAAATTTACTATAGTTATCAGCAATCCTATATGTCTCTGAAATTTTACTAAAATCTTACTGATTAATAATTTGACTATAAGCAAAATCCGGTAAAATTTATATTAGTTATCGGCAAATCTATATGTCACCAGAATTTTATTGATAAATAATTTGACTTTTAGCACAATCCGGTAAAATTTATAATAGTTATCGGCAAACCTATATGTCACCGGAATTTTACTGATTAATAAATTGATTATAAGCAAAATCCGGTAATATTATTGATTAATAAATTGACTATAAACAAAATCCAGTAAAATTTATATTAGTTATCAGCAAACCTATATGTCACTAGAATTTTATTGATTAATAAATTAACTATTAGCACAATCCGGTAAAATTTATATTAGTTATCGGTAATTCTATATGTCTCTGGAATTTTACTAATAAATAAATTGACTATTTATATTAGTTATCGGCAGTCATATATTGTTCTAATAAATATATAGGATTAGTTTTTACAGTGCTTCATCGTTTTTACTAATTGCTAAAAGTAGCAATAGCACAATCGGTTTATATATTATATATTATAAAACTTTATAATATGTACGTAAAATTATTCAGTTTAACAATATAAATATATATATTAAATATGAAATTTCCTATATACAGGAATAACCGATATATATTCTCTTGGGTTTCTTTTTCCAACTATAACAGTGCCAGAAATAAATCTATCTAAAATATTATGGATAGGGATTATGCAATCCTGACTTAAGTTATGGAAGTTTTGATTCCATAACTCAATATTACAAATATTATCTATTTGATAATGGAATCTTATATTTGAATTTTTTGCTTTGTACCAATATACAAAAGCCAAAATATGTTTTTTTGGACCTTTAGGTAGAAGTACTTCGTGTTTGAAATAATATTGAATGAGACCAGAAAATATATCGGTAGATCTGTCATCCAATATGAATTTTGTAAGTATTTTAGCCGAAGTTTCATGCCTTTTAGAAAAAGTCGATCTAAAAATTTCGGCACCAATATTTACCCTTCCGTATATTGTAACCTATTTTGCTACAAAGAATAGAGGAACATTTGTTTGTTTTAAATTCAGAACAGTATGATTGAATGCTGATTTATACACAATTACTTTTATTGACTTACGTTAGGCAATACCGGTATGTGGTCTGGTTTAATATGAATTTCAGATAATAATGCA